TGAGAGAAACAGAGAGGTCAATAGACTTTGCAGGAATGGTGAAATTAGACAGAACTCACGCAGTATATAACGGCTGAGATAAGTCGACTATATCGACTATATAACGACTAAATAAAAAAAAAATTTTAGAGATTTCGGATTTTGCATGAGTGTTATTTTTAACAATATAATACGACATACCAAATTTCAACTATATATAACTGAACGATCGGAATTAGTACTTAGTAAAAATATCAACTTTTGTATTTTTGAAGATAGAAGTTTGGGCTTTTTGGAGATTTTTTAATAAATTGTAATAAATTATAATATGATATTCTCATAATCATCGGCCAACTACATCCGATTTTTGATATACATATCCTTATATATCTTTTACATGTTTTAACTGCAAGGGTATATCAACTCCTCCCGAAGTTAGCTTTGCTTTCTTGTTTTTTTGTAATTCAAAAAAATGTTTTTTATTCTTAATTTAAATAAAACGCCTAAAATTATTGTGCATATTTTCTTAAAGTATGTTATATAAGCCAAAATTAAGAAAACTTAATTTTCTATCTTGCATACTGATATTAAAAAAAAAAATTTTACATGATAAGATTTAACTGTGCTTTTTTCAATTTTTTGCTTTTTCAAATTTAGCAAAAAAGCACGAGGTAATTTTTCAAAATAGGCTGGTTTACTTTGAAAGATAATCGATTTAAAACCAACAAAGATTACGGAGGTCGGTCTTGCACTAGTCTCACAGCTAACAGATTCACATTAAAGGTTGCCTCCTTAAAATATGAATTTCTTCAAAAGCGCATAAAAGTGCCTTTTCATATTTCACTCATATGAAGAAGATTAAACAATCTAATACAAATTACAATGTTTGACCCAGCTTGACTTAGTTTAAATCTCCTTTTAAAAATGAGATTTAATTCTAAGAACTCATCTTAAACTTTCAAAAAATGATTATTGGCCAGAAAAAGCGGTCAAATTTTTCAAATGGAAGAGCCCAGGTGAGCCAAATACGAAAAAAGGACGTTAAGTTCGATCAAATGTCAAAGTTTTGATCACTGTTTTCTTCGATTACCATGGCGTGGTCCATCAGGAGTTCTTACCATATGGTCGTACGGTCAATAAACATTATTATCTGGAAGTTATGCGTCGTTTGCGAGAAGCAATACGAAAGAAAAGTCTAGAATTGTGGAAAAAGAATTCATGGCTTTTGCATCACGATAACGCCATTGCTCACTCATCTTTGCTTGTGAGAGATTTTTTGGCAAAAACAACACCACAATAATGCCTCAGCCACCATATTCATCGGATTTGACCCGATGTGACTTTTTCTTGTTCCCAAAACTAAAGAGACCTATGAAAGGACGGAGATTTGCAACGATTGAAGAGATAAAGACTGCATCGCTGGAAGAGCTCAAGGCTATACCGAAAAAGTGCTTATGGGAAGTGCTTTGAGGATTGGAAAAACCGTTGGCATAAGTGTATTGTATCTGAGGGGGATTACTTTGAAGAGGACAACATAAATATTAAAAAATAAATTAATAATTTTTCTTGAAAACACAAAGTCACCTTACTTTTTTAACACACCTCGTATGCAGTTAAAATTATTTAAAATTCAAAAATCCTATTTTGGTGGGGCCATGATTATGTCTATTTGGTTATCCCTGATTTTACCCGATCAACTGTGGATGATGAACTAAATGCATGCCTACAATCATCGAATTTGTGGGAAGACGTAAAGGCACTCCAGTTAATATTTTTGCATCATGATGATACTGCAAATGTGTTTGCGAACTCGTTGTTAGACATTGGAAATAATAAAGTTGCAATGGACACCTCAACCGGATTCATCACATTACCCACAGATTTTTGTCACATCACAAATTTAAAAAAGGAGCTTTTTCAGATGTAGCGCAACAGTTCAATAACCATAATTGGCTGGGTGAACAATCGACGAGGATATCAATGCGAACATTCAGAATTTTTTCCAGGACAGTTGGAATATTTTCAAATCAGTCGACACAGTTATGAACCAAGATGACGTAGTCAACTATCCCACGGAGTTTTTAAATTCACTGAAATTGCATGGATAATCACATCACCATTTGTCGGTAAAATAGGGATCCATTGTAACATCCTACGTATTAGGATGCTTCGTAAAAATATTCAACTTCCACTATGCAATGCTATTGAATAACGTCATTAAGGCAACAATCATACAATCATGTCCCAGTAAAAATTCCTTCACCCTGCAAGGCCTGGAGCCCTGAAGATAAAAAACTTGTATCCTTCTCTTTTAGAACGCAGACGAATGCGTTGTACTTAGATTGACCAATATTGCTTTATATCAGTGGTGTGCAAATGTATACATTTTTAACATTTGAGTGTGTGCGTACGCAGCAAAAAGCAAAGAAAGCCGGACATTAATGGTCTGGCAATCGATATAAGGCCGTTATTGGAAGCTTGAAGCTAAATGTAGGAATCCGCGTGGAAATAATTTTTTCTTTGACTTTCTGGCGCAATTAAAAAAGGTTCGTCCAGTACAAGGAAAACATTTTTCGCGAAGAATGTAGAAGCAAGTTGGAGATTGAGCCCACTCGGAGATCACCGAAATTGAGGGTATCGCGAAACTGTTGGCAACGGCGAGGCCAAAGCGGCAACTTTCTGTTAGACACGCGGGTCGGCGCCAAAGTGAGGCCTGGTTCAAGGTGTGAAGGTCTTTGGTGAAAGAGAAGCTGGAGTCGAGCGGGGTTCCCAGCGGATCAGTACACGGCATAAATTAGGAGGGTCGCAAGATCGCCCACGAGGCGAGGCCACGAGGAATCGCTGAGAGGCCTAGGGTTCCGTCGAGAGAGCCTGGTCGGAGTAGTCGCCGTAGAAGCGAGAGCAGAAAGGAAAGCTGTTTTTGTTGGAGAAGCGGCTAGGTGTGGTCGGAGGCAGCCGAAATTGGGAGCTAGACTCGGAGCGTTCGCGGCGCTTTTAAGGGACACTCCGCCGCAGAGAGGGGAGCGAATTCGGTCTATCTGGTGGCCTCTTGGTGCCCCGTAGGAACGTGTGGAGTTAGAGAACTGAGTTTTCCTTTCTCATTGGAGGTTTCTATTGGCTAGCTGCGTAAATAGTTTTTTTTGTGAACGGGTTGGCAAGAGCTTTCCCGGAATATTATTACTTTCCAGCCTCGAGCAAGTGGAAGCGCTTCAACCAGCTTGTTGCGGATGAAAAGGGTGAGTAAATCCTAATTTGGTCCGAATCGTCTGATTCCCGGCCTAAGGGGTCCACCAATTGGACGATTGCCCTCACCTTTGACACCGGGAACGAGCCTTTAGATCAAAAGTCCGGTCAAGAAAAAATAATACAAGCGTCTCCAAACCGGATAATTGTAATGTCAGCCCGTAGATAAAGTCGGCAGAAATTATTTAAAGGAATCGCGCAGATACGTCCCGATTCTGCATACGCTAGCCGCAGATAGCCTTTTACCACGGAGTGGTGTAAAGGACCGTGGGATTAAAGTTTCAATTGAAGCAGAAAAACAAAATAAATGAAGTATTGTGCGAGGCCGAACCAAATAGCTTCAGGGAGGAAAATAGTCCGCCTCGCTTGATTTGCCACCGCCTTGCTGCTGCCGCTACCTTTCGGCGACCGAGTATCTGTTCAGAGGAGACTTTGTTAGGCATTCGCATTTCGAGAGGTCGTGCACACATTCTATCATCGCTATAATTAATGATCTTCGAGGCAAGCATCAGAGAGAGAGGGGCCTTACAAGACCCACCCATTGGCCGACGAGATCTAGCTGGCAACCGCGTGCGACCCCTTTTCTTACCCGATGGTCCTGAGATGCCCATCTCCTAAGCTTGACTGTTCGTTACAAATATAAGGCCCTCTTATTTTGTTTAGAATTATAAAACTGTTAACTGTTAAGCCTAGTACTATGACGACGACAATCCGCTGTCACACGTGTGACAACTGTCAAACTCCATATAAAAAAAAAGGTGTAAAAACAGGAAGAAGAAGAAATTTTTGCCTCCTAGATTTTGCCGGTACTCCGACGACGAAAATTATGGCTATCAAATTGAATGGCGTTGCCAGATCAAAAAAAATAAACAGCTGATTTTGGGTGTAAAAAGAATTAATTTGATTTCTTTTGATAGCCAAAACATGGAGCGAAAATTGAAAGAAAAAAATTGTCGGACCGAAAAATTTTCGCCTGCGAGGATAAAGTCAATTTAATTAGTGCGGTCAAAGCGAAGCCCATAATCTGGCATTTGACCCACAAGGGCATTTTAATTCCATAAAATGACATATAAATGATTTGTAATTGATTTTGATTTTGACCCAGTTTTCTTTTTCTTAATCAGCTCCTTAGCGGCGAAATACATAAAGAAAACACCAAAATCCAATCGGCTTGAATTCATTTTTGCTTAGTTGTTTTTTGTTTACAGTCAACAGCTGTTCAGTATTACCCTTTTCCTTAATTTTTTTGGTCACACTAGCTCGGTAGCCAAATAAAGTGGGGTTTCGCTAGCGGATTTTCGACAGCGGATTTTCGTCGTCAGAGTACTAGGCTTTACACTGTTTAGCAGCGCTGCAGCTGAATTTCTGTCGTATGGACGCATACCATGGAAAATGAGAAAATGGAAAACTCCCATTACTTGTTTACAGCAATAATAGTGAGCAAAAAAATAGTGGATAATTTGTTTTTTCTGTTTCTGTTGGGTCTGTTCACCAACAAAAATTCATATCGAAAAATACCACAAATTTAAAAGCGGATTTTTCCCTGCACAGCTTAACGCATGTACGGTTCCCAGCGAAAGATTACCAATTTTAATCGTTAACTTTTTTCATTTTGCATGATATCAGAAAATTAATTTAAGCTATTATTTTCAAACATTGCGTATTTTTAAATTCAATTCAAATAATATTACAAATATACATACATTAAATAAGCAAGAGTTATCGGTCAAAATTGACAAAAAATACCAAAAGTAATATATATATGTAGATGTATTTTATTTCGTTTTTTCAAAAGTGGATGCAGTGTGGTCACACATACACACAAATGGTCGGATGGAAAATTATAAATTTAATTAATTGATTGAGCTCGATTTTACTGTGTCCTTTATCTTTTGAAAAAAAAAAAACTTCCCATATTGGTGTCTTATTAATTGGAACAAACCTTGTTGAATTAATTGGTACTACCAACAAAAGTATCTAAAAAGAAAATTATTCAACCTGGCGTTTACTTCGTATAAGGGAAAGTTTTGCTTTTCCATCAATATAAAATGTACATTTACATTATGTACGTATGTGGCTCCATAAACCCAAAGATACCTTCTTTTTGATTGTTTTATTTAATTTATATTCTTAATATAAGACAGCTTGTAATGTAAACCGGGAACGGAGTTTAAAGTGATATAAAATAATCAAATCGAACTTAGAGCATTTTATGAAACTGCTGTGTTGGCTTACCGGAGCAAATGATTTTTTTCTAGAAAAGGTAAGCCACAACATGAAAGCTTACCATTAAGGCATATTATTAATGTTTATGAATATTTATATACATACATACATATGTATATCCCGAACAATTTAAAAAATTGGTTAAAGACAATATTATATTTTACTATTTACTTAAACTGACTGTTAACTTAAAAAAATGAAAAAATTCTTTTGAATTTATTAAAACTGAACAATAATTACAATAAGAATTAACAGAATAAAAAATTTCTTTATAATTTTTTTTATTTTATTTGTTTATAAATTATTCTAAACACAAATTGTTCATTAATATTATTTAAAGACAAGAATAAATGCACATATGTATGTATGTACCTACACACCCATATATACATTCGCTTGCATGATTCATAAACGTCGTTGCTATTCATGACGTCGCTATTATACTAGAATACTGGATTTGAAAAGTAAAACAGAACTAAAATGGAAAGTCAAAATAATGGCAGTTTCTATGTGTATATCCTAGCAATCCTAGCAATATGGATTGTTAAATTGTATGTGCCTACTTGGCGCTCTTTCTTACATATGTATAAGGAAAAAGGAAATCAATGGTCTCAGTTTATTTTTCTTTAAAATTTTCTTTAAAAGAAAAGGAAAAAAGTTTAAGAAAAATTTTTTTTCTGATTTTATGACTATTTTTCTAAAACCATTCATACGTTTAGCCCAGTGGGGGGAAAACTCTCATTTTCCATAGCACGCGTGCATAGGGTAGGGAATTCTGCCGCAGCGCTGCCGGCACACTGACAGTGTGAGCACTTTCTTTATTAGAAGCTCTCATGTTGACTCATTTGACAGCCCAAACTTAAAAATCAAATGTTTCCACTGAGAAAAATTTTCTCAGAAATTGGGTTGGAAACAGTTTTCTTCATGGAGAATATAGATAGGGAAGCGTAGTTTTTCATTTGTTTAAGAAATGTTGCTAGCAAAGCTTTTTTTAAAATAAAATACACAATTTTAGTGCCCATTCCAACTTTTTAATTAACGAAAAATGAAATCGAAAACTATGTTATGTTCGCTCAGTGAATGCTCTGCTCTCATTGTTTTTCTCTGCTACGCAGTGCGCACAAAACAAACACGACCCTTCGCGCAAGAAGGGGGAAGAAAAGTGATCCTAAAGATGCCACAAAAATAACGGAAAATTGGATCGGAAAATTGGACACAAATTGCACAAATTTGACAAATGAAATTCTGTCAACGACCGAACTACAATGTTAAATATTTGCTTATTTGTGTACATACATATATCCGTACCAAAATAGTCATTAAAATTTAAACGATCACCTACCAATGGTATATAAACACCAGGCCCTCCGAACTTAGATTTCTTTTCTTGTTTTTAATTGACTGTTTTCAATTAACAACCTGTTAGATAACTTTTACAGATCAAAATGCTGAATTTAAATATTTTGTATTTCATTAAAGAAGTCTTTTCAAAATGTATCATTCATCTCACCAAATTAATAATATTTTGATAAATTAGTAAAAAAAAATCTGAATTGGGTTAAAGACAGTAAAAAGGTTTTTTTTTTGTTTTTTGAAAAGAAAACCAATAACCAAACGCTTAAGTTTAATATAATAAGCTTCTGTAAAAAGAAGAGGTTAGCCAAATATGGCCAAAACCATGTAAATTAATCCCATGACTTAAAAAAAAATACGTAATCTTTTTTTCAGAATGGAAGTACATACAGTGGAAATGAACAACTTGCATTGCACTGCTGCTGTACTTTCCTCGATTCAATCTGCTCCGATACCTTCCAACGCTACGCCCATTAGATCCGGAATCAACAATTCATCCGTCGATACAGATTTCGTCGGGAAGTTAAACCATCAAAATGACAATCGAAACTGCGACAGTCCCGGCAGCTCCAACTCTGAATTGGAAAAAGAAAGTACCGTTATTAAAAACCTAAATTGTTCTTTAACTGGCAGTGACAGTTTGGGAAAATCAAGTGGATCTCTAAGTGGCGCCTCTTCAACAAACTCAGCATTTCAGGGAAATAATACGATTGAACCTTTAAAAATCAATGGGCCAGTCAGTGGGGACTCTTCTGGAGGAGCCTTATCCACATCTGTTCAAATAAAGAAGCGAATTTCGAGCAGTCGCACGCCTACTCGAAAAGCGCATCGGATAAAATTTTACCGAAACGGAGATCGTTTTTATCCAGGTATAACCATTCCAGTATCTAATGAACGTTATAGATCTTTTGAGAGCCTCTATGAAGACTTGACTCGACTGCTTGAAGAAAACGTCAAAATACCAGGTGCCGTTCGAACTATTTACAATATGTGTGGAAAGAAAGTAAGTATTTCCGATTATTAATATTTAGGTTAGGTTAGGTTAAGGCAGCCATGCGGGGCCTGTCACTGACACCTCCATCCACTTGAGCCGCTGGGGCTCCTTGTGATACCGCACAGGCACGAGGTCCTACAAGGGGACCTTCCCCCTCCTATCTACTAATGTGCCCAAGTGTGTGCTAACTTTCCTGCGGCGGCTCGCGGTCCCATCCAGTTTTCCGGATGAAGGCAACGAGTCTGCGTGGAGCGATCTCCTCGAGGTCTGTTAGGTTCGTGAGTGCTGCGCTCAAGAATTTGAGACGGCTGCGCCCCAGCGTAGGGCAATAACACAGGTGTGCGACTGTCTCTTCCTCTTTTACATCCCCACAACTCCTACAGTAATCATTGTGTGCAATTCGTTCCTATTAACTAGTATCCCGTGATGGCCTTGACCGCCAGACTGCAGTCCTGCCTATTGAAGATAAGCATCATTGATCTTTTCCTAGAGCGGATAGGCCATATCATGCGTGAGTTCCTGCCGTTTGGAGATTCCTCCATTTCGTCCGTGCTATGCGGCCAAAGTGATTTAGCCTACACGTAGCAAGGCATTCCTAGTAGTTCTTCTCCGATTGGTAGCGTCAAGGGCGTGGCGATTTTAGCCCCCGCTATCTCTACAGGTAATATGACGAGTATGAAGTCTAGGGCGTCTGTTGCTGTGGTACGTAGACTGCCTGTTATGCCTGTAACCTCCGCCATCCTTTGCGTTTTCCTAAATCCGTAGAATAGGACTGGTCTTATGACCGCTGTGTAAAGCCATCTGATTATCTTTGAGTCTAATGCCCTTTCGGCATGTATATAGCGCGATTGTTGCCTTGCTTGCTCTATCCATAGTGTTTGACTTCCAGTCCAGTTTCCTGTTCCAGCTTTAACACTGAGGGAGAGAATTTCTCCTGATAGTTTTGGAAGCCTACAATTTGGTATTGGATATAGTGGATATAGGAGATATGGATATAGTGAAGAGGACAGCTCGGTTTTGGATGGGTTTACACCTAGTCCATTCCTAACTGCCCATGTTGAGAGAACCCTAAGTTTGTCTGTCATGCATAAGCAATAACCTTGCAACCACCACCTTCTAGGGATCGTAGTAGGCTATTAACTGGGGTGAAAATACACCTCCTTGCGGAGTGCCTCTTCTGGCATATCTTTGAATAGATCTCCTCCTAATGACGTCTCAACAGTCCTGTTTACCAGGATCTGCTTTATAAGGCGTACGGATTGAACGTCTATTTTTAGTCTCGTCAGCGCATTGATACTCGAAATGGCAGGATGTTGTTTAACGCACTTCACCGAACGTAGTGATCTCGTGGAGTGCCGTCTCCGTGGATCGGCCCTTCCTATAAGCATGCTGTGATCCCGAGATATCATCTGGGTAAGATTGATGGTAAGATTAATGTGGAGGCTGATTAGTCTCTCCATTGTCTTAAGGGAGAAGGACGACAGGCTTATAGGTCTGGAGACTAGGGGTGCAGTGCGATGGTTTTCCCGCTTTGGGTATGAATACGACCTTCGTCCGCAACCACGTTGCGGGCACGATCCCACCTTGGCCTGGGAATTTAAAGGGCTTGAAGCTGTTTATTGCCCAGCTGAGATACCGATTACTATATTGGTATTCGAGTTGGTTTGGAAGGGAGGGGCTGTCTCCCTCTCTCTGCGTTTCCAGGGTTGTTTCTTCTAGAGAGCATCCCGGGAAATGTGCATTTGTGAGAGCCTCAAGGGTTTCTTTGCTGGACGTGGTCCAGCCTAGAGATGGGCGCGTGTCTAAAATTTTCAACACGACACAACACGAACACGAAAAACTTTATTTTGCGTAACACGAACACGCACGGTCGATTTTAATCCAACACGAACACGCACGACCAACACGAAAATTTTTTTTCATATTTGTTTCATATTAAATTACAATGTAATGGGTAAATTGAGTTAGTGAGCTTTTTTAAACAATAACCTTTGGTGGAGCCCGGATAAATAAAAAGACGTGCTAAATTTCTTATTAAAATTAATGGTACTTTATTAACTGTTTATTACAGTAAAGGTAAACGCAAATGGCGAAAAATTAACATACAAAAACATTAAAATTAATTCATATTTTTGTATAAAAGTACAAGTTTATCCACATTACTGCTGAGAAATCTGGTTCTGCGCTCGTAGCAGAGCTAATTGGTATATTTAAAATTTGCTTTGCTAGTTAAGTTATTAGCTCTTCTCCAAAATTCTAAAACATTGTTTAAATTTTCTTTGCCGCATTTGTAATAGTTGTCTATTTCAATGTCGACAGCGCTGCGCACTAATTTAACCTTTTTAGCATTGGTTTCATCTCTAAATTCAAAAAAAACCTGGGCTTCATTAGCCGATATGCTTTTCTCAGGACTGGTCTTTTGGATTGAATATTCAGATAATATTCTCTAATCGTAGTAAAAGTGTCACTTCGTTCAGATTCGGTTAAAAAATTAAGCTGCCTAAACGGCGGGTTTAAAAAAAGACCGACGTAATGAAGGTTGGTTGGCTTTAGACGCTTATCAAGTTGTAAAAGAGTATTAGTTTTAAGTTGCGATATAAGAAATGAATCTAACATTTTCTGATTACAATGTGATTTTAATTTTAAAATACCAAAGAACATAAATATGCATGGTGGGTTCTTTTTCGGAACTAAATTTTTCGGAACATTCTTTAAAAGGTTTTAAGAATTCTAGAACTTGATTTATAATTTCAAAGTCAATATCAGCAAGACGATTCGATTGACTTTTTTCACTTAAAAGATATTTTATTTCATCCTTAACGTCAAATATACTTTGAAGCATAATATACACTGAGTTCCATCTAGTTTGTACATCTTGTTTTAGTGACTTGCTTAATTTATTGTTCAACTCTGAATGCTTGAAAAATTTAACTAATTTCTTCGACGCATCAATAAGCTGCCTAATTTCATAAATTGGATCCCTTTCGAGGACATCGGCCATTAAAAGATTTAAATTGTGGCATGCGCACGATAGTCCTTTAAAATTATTAAAAGCCGAAACAACATTTGCTCCGTTGTCGGTGACAATTACAGAGTTTATCAACTTACTGTCGATGTTAAATTGTTTTAAAATGTCGGTTACATGCCATACAATATTAGCTCCGGTTTTTTTCTCTGCCTCGAACTCTTTAACACCTAATATTTAAACATTTAACTTAAATTCAGCACATATATAATGAGTGCTTAAGCTTACAAAACTCCGCTCCGTGTACGAGTCGGTCCACATATCAGTTGTGAAGGCTAAATGTTGTTCTATAAGCGCTGTGCTTAGCTCCTTATGTATACGCTCGTATTCCTTTATCATGACGGAGTAAGTAAGGGTTTTTCTCGATACGAATACATCCTTATATTTTTGAACGCCATATGCAGCTCCTAGATTTATAAGGGCTTGAGCATACTCCTGAAATTCTTCGCCTAAACAAAATAAAAAGTAATAACATATATATACATATTAATTAATAATTAATACACTGGTGCCCAAGCCCAGTATAGAAAAGTGAGTTCTTTTCCACAATACACACAAATAAAAAAAAACATTGATCCGATGATACAAAAACAGCAAGTTATGAGCTTGGGTACCACTAATTTAACACTCATATTCACACAAATAAACTCGTCACTGTACATAGTGCATATATCTTAACTCCCCTTCGGTGACGCTGAGAGGATGTAAATCTTTAGCCACGAAATTCAACTGTTTGATGGCCAGGTTATCTATGACATTTTGCGGAACTTTTTTAAGCACAAAAGACGGCAAAGTGGGTTGGCGTGTATCCGCTTAAACGGCACATTTGACGATTTAATACGCCGGTTTCGGTCTTCGCCGTGTATGCGAATACAACTTTGCACTTTTTACAGCACAAAAAGTTTAGGATCTCACCTCAGCATTCAATTAAATTGAACGTCTGCCAAATAAGACTTTTGGCTTTTGCATTGTTAATTAATTTGTATTTTCGTCTCCTCTGGCAATCGCTTCTTGAATTTGAATGCGTCTCTCCATATTTTTTTTTCTAGCATCCAGTTCGAAGAAAAAATTTGATGGTATGTGTTTTACAGTGTTGGTAATTCTTGCTGAGGAAATATACTAAAAATAGTGCAGTCAAGCGACTTTTGTTTCGTGTTGTCGTGTTGGAGTGCGCAACAAGAGCACGCACGAACACGCGAAATTTGATTGCGTGCAACACGAACACGCGTGTTGAGTCGTGTTCCCGATGTGACACGAGAATACACGACACGCGCCCAACTCTAGTCCAGCTACCTTCCGAGGTTTTAATATATCCTTCACTTGGTGCAGTTGTTGCAAGGACCTTCCGGAGTCGGGAGGCCTCCGATGTCTGTTGAATGTTCGTGCAGAACTTGGTCCAGGTATTCCTTTTTGCTCTACGCAGTTCTTTGTTGTACTGCCTGAAGTTCGCTTTCTACGCCTCCCAGGCTGTCTCCGTGTTTGCCTTACTGGCAAAATTAAAGGTTTTGCGGGCCCTGGTCTTAAAGAGCGAAAGTGTTTGCGACCACCATGGAGGTATCTTTGACTTGCTACTGCCCGATCTGTTTTGGGACAAGCTTTATTGAATGCCTTAGCGCACGCCGCCGTTAACGTGTCCACCATGGCATCCAGGTCTTGCCTACTGTCAACGTCCCTTGTTGGAGGTTTCCCCAAGAATCTTTTTAGTTTTTTCTCATATAACTCCCAGTTAGCTTTTCTCGGGTTGCATACTGTGAGTCGATTAAAGTTCTTAAAATTGACCACTAATTCTATATATCGATGGTCTGAGAAAGAGTGTTTCTCTTGGACTCCCCATCTAACAATCTTGTCTGCTAGGGAATCAGAGTAAAAAATAATGTCAAGTACTTCCCTTGTTCTTGACTATGAAGGTGGGTTCCGTACCCCTGTTACCCACCAGAAGATTGGAGCCTAGGATAAAATCGAAGATTGACTCACCCCTCTCGTT